TCACCTAAACCACTGTTCTTCCTCCTTGATTGGCCATTAATGTTTATTTTTTGAAACGAGGCACGGCTATAAAATTGACTGGTTTTTTTCGCTATAATTCTACTATCTATAATATCATATGAATTGATTTAATGTTTTTGCGATTTATTCCAAACCGCCTCCGATAAATGAATTTTTCAGCAACGTAGGAATTTGAAATTGCAGTGTCACTGGATGACCATCTGAGTATAAATCGCTTAAGTACGAATAAAATAACTTATTTCATATGAATAAACAAAATGGAGACAAAAAACTTAGTGACATAAAATTTGTATTAACTTCAGCACTTATTTAGAGATTATCGCAACCCATTGCAGCTGACTATTTTATCTTTTATTGCTTGATGTTTAAAGCTTCCTGTTGAGCAGCTTTTAGCTCAATCTGCCGAGTTTAGCCAAATGAACATCTCTTTCGAGATTGAAGTCGACACTCGGACCGGCGAGTTTCTATGCTATTGTCTCGTAGACGGCCAGCGCTGTTGTGACCTTATCACTTACCACACTGGGCCTCCAACTTCTTGTAGCTCCGTCGCCACTGTATGGCCATCATTCACTCGGAAATCCATTGGGTCAGACTGCTTTTCCCAAGTAACTTCAAGTGATAATCAATCTGCTTCCTCAGAACCCAATAAGCCTTTTAAAGCTGATTATGGGATTATAGGTGTTGGTTGTGCAGTATCCAAAACAGCTCCTCTTGCCAGAGAACTTGCGGCTCGTTCTCTCGTAGACTGGTGTCGAGAAAAACAGCCTATTGTGGGTCTCACACCTTCATGTTCAATATCGTCAAAAGATTCAGAACTGAGTGAGTATAACTTCGCATTTGTTATCTTCGATTTCAAGTTATCTATTCTAGCGCTATTGAGCGATTTATCTCTAAATTTTGTTCATTTGCTTTATCTGACGTTATTTTACTCCTTTCTTCGGGTAGGGTGGCTCACTTCAGCTGTATCTTAAAAAGTTCTAATGATTTATCCATCTCTGAAGTAATAACTTAATGGTTCTAGATCGCTTAAAATAATACAATTTGCCTCTAATTATACGTGTAAACCTCGCGGTACCATATAATTTCGCTTGGCCGTGCCCTAAGGCCATTCTTTGTACTCATTATAGTGGCGATCTTACCCGATCTTGTCGTGCCTGCCACCCTCTAGGTGAGTGCTTGACTATTGTCATGGAATACATATTAGGAATAGCAAAGATGTCATGCAGCTTTCATTAAATTCGAGTTTTATCTTGAAGACAACTAGACATACAAAATTCTAAATTCTTTCGGGCTATCTCACTCTGCTGTCCAAAGGCACTTGTGACTGTGTCGTAGTGGCTAACGTTTCGAGACACTGCACTATTCGGGTTCGGGTCGCTTTCAGAGCGCAGTCCACTCAGGATGAGAATAACTTTTTGAAAGCAAGGCCGTTTGAAATTCACTGTATCTGCGAGGCCTATCTACATAACAAAAAAGTGGAGCGGATACGTCTTATATATATCCTTAATTGACTTGAGGTGAAATTTTACTATAAATGACTCCTCTTATTTTACTCCATATTGAGAAAATATTCAATGTATCTCTGATTTTGATGGTATAATTATCGTTGTAAGGGCAAATCAGCTGGTGGATAATCATATTTTGTATATAAATATGATCTGAGAAATTAGTAGAGTAATTAATTGGAGCGTTTTAATAAGATGGATGTCACGATTTACATAATTTCATACTTAGCTAAACATTTATATTATCTCATCAATATTATATTTGAGCGGAAGATTAAAACTT